CGGCCGGGGGAGCGCCGCCCCCTGCGCCACCGGCCCGGCTTCCACCGCATCGACCGCACCGTGCTGCTGGGCGCACTGCCGCTGCGTGCGCGGAGCTCCCGGGTAAGGCAGGCAGGGGCAGGGGCAGGGGCAGGGGCAGGGGCGGCCGGGCCCGAGCTGACCATGTCCCCCCGTGCAGCTGGTGCAGGAGGAGAACGTGCGCGCCGTGCTGACCCTCAACGAGGACTACGAGACCCGCTTCCTCTGCTGCTCGGCGCGGGTGAGCGGCGTGGGCTGGGCCGGACGCCTACGTCTGGGGCAGGGCACGCGCGGGCTCCCTGAAGCTAAGCAGGGTCAGCCTGGCTTGAGCCCTGGATGGGAGTCCCCAGCACACAGCCGGCACCTGCCAGCCTGGAACCACCCTCCCCCACCCGGCCGGCAGGAGCTGCTCTCCCCACAGGAGCGTGGTGGCAAGGCCCTTCCACCCTGTAGGGGCCCGGCCCCTGCCGGAGCACAAGGCTGGTACTGCTCTCATTGCCAGCTGGCCTTTGCTCTGCGTTCCCAGGGGTGGGAAGCTGGGTGTCCTGCCTGGCCAGCGAAGGTAGGGCACTGCTGCTGCTGTGGTGGCTTGCAGCTGTGAGAGCATGCAGCACCCCAGGTGCTCTCTCACAGTCACCTTCACTTCCCCTTCTTCACCCAGGAGTTTTGACTCTACTGTGGTGTACTACTGGCAAGGGCCATTGGAAAGCAGGGCATTTCTTCATATTCTGCCCCCCCCCCCATGTCCATGCACAGGTCCTGTATTTTCCTGTTGTCAAAAACCTCCCCCACCCCTGCCTCCCCTAGTGACTGATTTAATCCAGTTTCTGCTTCAGGAATGGGAGGCCATGGGAGTAGAGCAACTGCGTCTCAGCACAGTGGACCTGACTGGAGTCCCCACACTTGAAAATCTGCAGAAAGGTGTTGAATTTGTCCTGAAACACCAAGAATGTGGTAACAGTGTTTATGTGCACTGTAAGGCAGGCCGGTCACGCAGTGCCACCATGGTAGCAGCATATTTAATTCAAGTAAGGAGGTGTTTATACCAAAAAGAGCATATTTTTGTAAGCAGCTCTGGGCAGGTAAAGGGCTGTGGTGCTATGCTGTACTGTTCTGTACAAGCTTTCTAGTGAAGAAATTCAGCTGAGTACAAGGCCCAAGAAACTACTGCATAGACAACAGGGGTTTTACTCAGCATGAAGTATGATTTTAAAGTTGTACAAGAGTTTACAGTTTTACTGAGCCTGGTCTGTGACCATTTGAGAAAAGAGGGGACTTCAGAACATGTGGCCAGCTCTCCTCCTCACGGGGGATGGGCTTTTCACCAGTCAACCCCCCTTTACTCTTGTAGAGAGGGACAAGCACAGGGTAAATGAACAAGTGAAACTTCTGCTTGTGGAACTGATATGCAAGAGATCTTTAATATAGGCAGTCCTTGATTTACAACGCTTTGAGTTACAACGTTTCACACTTACAACCTTTATAAATTGACACCCTGTTTCAACTTTCTGTCCTCAGTTTTGACTTTACAACACTTGATCTGACGCCAAGCTACGCCAGCGATCAAGTTTGCTGCAGCACCCATCTCCCTAGAGAACATCTGTCCAAACTTCCTTGGACATTTTCTTTAAGAAAGCAGACAAGACTCCAGAAAAACCTGCAGCCAAGAGCCCTTCAAAACATCCAGTAAAGTCTCCTCAAAAAAGTCCTTCCAAATCAGTGATTGCTATTTACAATATAAATACATAAACGTAGCTATATTACTCATCTATATTTGATTGAGTACAACATTCTGCGTTATTTTTGGTGAAAATAGGGTATCGGGCCTTGGTTTAGGAACCAATCCTCCATTTATAACACAGTTTCCTTTGGGAAAATCCGTTCCAAGTTGCAATGTTTCGACTTAAGACCTGGTTTTCAGGAACCAATTGTGTTGCAAGTCTGAGGACTGCCTGTATTCCAGTTTTCCTCTCAGTGCACATGGACATTATCATGGGAGGAAGCTTCTGATATTCAACTTTCCCTGCCCTCAAGACAGTGACAAGCTAGTACTTACTGGCTAGCAAAATGACAATGTCGCTGTCATCTTACGCAGCTTGTCTGATTGTCATTCCCCTGCACAGCATGGACACTGAAAATGGAACTTGAGTAGCAGTGTTTTCTGATTGTTATGTGCAAGAGTAGAAACTGCTTCACTGAACTTCCTAAGCCTTAAATGACATAATGTGGTACCTGTGGCTACTTTCTGAATAGCTCCTCAAGGAGCTGTTATTCTAATCTGGAATTCTCTGGCTACTCTGTAATTCTTGTAACAGAAGCCTGTGACTAGCTCTGCCTCCCTTATGGATCAGGGTGGCTGGATCACCAAGTCTGAGCACACAGAGCTTGAAGAAAACAAAAAAGAAATCTTCAGAGCTGAGACAGAAGGGAAGCTTATCAGGCGGTAACTGGAATTCTCATATAAAAGCCTTAGTCTGCCTGTCTGTCTATAATGCTTTATTTGCACTCTGATTGGTTGTCTCAGTATCCAGTCACAATGCTGACTGAAACAACCAATCAGTGCTACAAGAGCATTCCAGACAGGAGGGGGGGAGCAAGGTCAGCACTGCACTGCTATTGGGGCGGGGAAGGCACGAAGCCATTCCTGATGGGCAATTGGCTAGTAGTTCTATAATGGTCTACTTAATGCATGAAGAAAGTTAACTCAACCATACAAAACTGAACAGTTAACAGTTCAGTTGGATGAAGATTCATAACTGCATAGCCCTGGTTGTAAAGGTGTGCATGCAGCTGTTAGTATTTCTAGATATTAGCTGGGAAGTCCTCCCTTCAAGTACTGCATTAGCCGCAGTCTGAGCACAAGCAGTTTCACTTGTTTGAGGAAAGAACATCCAGCTGAGTAAAGCTGGGATTAGGACAAAACTACCTGCGATGCTATGGAAGCTTGAGGGGAGAAATGGAACCCCAGGTTCCTACCAATTTCTTTTGGGTAAGGGAATATTTTCTCAAGTTCATATTAAGAGTTGAGTGTCTCAGGGGCACAAGGAGCGCATGCGTTTCAAGCCTGTTTTCTTGAGGGAAGCTCCCCCTCATTAGAAGCCTGTACTAACCAACAATGAACTGGGTGGCTTCTCATTTATAGAACTCTGCTTTTCCAGGTGCACAATTGGAGCCCTCAAGAAGCAATAGAAGCCATTGCAAAGATCCGTCCCCACATCCTCATCCGCCACAAACAGGTCCAGGTCTTGGAGAGATTTCACAAGCTTGTGATTGCTGGGACAGCTTCACAAAGTGAGCAAAAGCCATAAGAGGCCACCTTCTGACTCCCCCCAAACAACTTTGAATCTTAGTGAATAAGAGTCATGCTTCTCAGCCACCAATAAAGAACTTCTTCAACTCATTCTTGTAATGGTGAGTTTAGGTTCTTCCTAACTCCATGTCATTATAATGCATAATCTACTAGTTGTCCAGTGTTTTCTGTTCGTCTTCCCTTCCCCCCAGTTATTTCAGGGCACCTGTAAGTTTAGCACTCTCTCTACAGGTGACAGAGCTGTGTCATAAACAGTGCACGTTACCACTGACAGCAGAGTCCACATGCATCCCACTATAGACCTTTATTCAGACTCTCGTGGAAGAGACTACAATGCCAGGAGACAGGCTGGTAGGAAAAGGATTGTTTCATCTTACACCAGCATACTACTCTGTATAACAACAGCAGGGTAGGACCCCTCAGTACAAGGGCAGGAGGACCAACAATGGCATAAGAATAGTTTCCCTCTGTCTGTAGTTGACAAAATAGCAGCAAACAGGTTCCCCACATCTATTACAACTCCTGTACAACATGGTAGAGTAAGACACTTTGGGCCCCTCTCTGAATTCTGTCTGCTGTAAGCTCCATAGTGCTTATGGCCTAAAGGCCTGCAGCATTGGTGGGGAACATTCATAATCTAGTTCCCATTCAAATAGAGACCTTTTTTAAGAAGTTACAGAGGGTCCACTCCAAAATATAACCTCCAAGATTAGACTAACTTGTTCAGAAATGCATAAGCTTCTGTAAGTAACAGCTATGACACGACACATCTGACAGTAGGCCCTTGCCTACAAAAGTCTAAAAGGTGCCATCCTGCTGTGACTTCAGACTAACACAGCTAACTACCTCTCTCCCCAAGATTATTACATGGAAAGGCTGTATCAAGAAGGGATTTGTCAGCTAGCTATAGAACCTGCTGGTAGGGGCTAGCTCCAGACCTAAGGAATATTATTTGCTGCAGTCTGAGCTTTGGAAACCCAAGCAGCTTTATATCCAGGGGCCACAGTAATAGCATTTAATCTGTCTGGAATTTACAATGCAGCAAGTCAACTTGGAGTGCTAGGTGAGGGAACAACCCCACAGCCAAGACACAGAGCAGGGCTAAAAAGATCTATAGGATACTGTGGTCTTGCTGGGGCAGCTGCTAAGGGGTTGGGTACTTCAGCTGCTTTTTGAATGTCCTCATTTTCCTGTCACTGGGCTGATCCTCCTCAAGCCAGTACAAATTGCAAGTTAGTGAGCAGCACTTTGATGCCACTGGTGACTGTAACCACAGAGGTGGCTGGATTGAGTTTGAAAGTATTGGCATCTCCCTTTTTGTAGCGATCTCGAAAGACATATATGCTGCCATTACAACTGGCAATTTTCCAGAGGGATGGTACTGAGCTCCAAGCGTCGGGCAGACACAGCCGAGTGAAGCTATCCAGTAGGGGATTATAGCATAGCAGTGAGTCCCCTTCTGCAACAATGAACACCAGGTCCTTGTGTACAGCAGCGTGCATGCGGCCTGCAAAGGGTAACACGTAGGGCTTCACATGGCATTTCTCTGTGTTGGTGTCATAACACTGAATGAGTCGGGAGGGCTTGGTAAAGAAGTCTAGGTCATTCTCCTCTCCACCCAGCAAGTAAATGACACCATTGAGGTTTACCCCTGCAGCCCCAGAGACAGCTACTTCCAGCTGGCTGGTCTCTGTCCACACGTTGTCTCGCACCCTGTAGTATATAACAGCATTGGAAAGCGTGTCCTGCAGCGTTTTCCCCCCTAGCGAATAGATAGCGTCCTTACTTGGCACAGAGACCAGGGTGTGCTGGAGCCGGTCACGGGGCAAAGGGGCACACCATTCCCAGTCTATGGTGGCATTGTTACATTTCCACATGCGCCGTGGAATCGAGCCACCCACAACATATAGGTCACTGCCATGCTTGCAGGCTGCAGTGATCTGGTGACATAGGCTATTCTGGCCACTGACACTTATGGAATCATCATCAGCACAGTGCAGAGAAACAGCAAGCGAATGTGTACGAGATGACTCCTTTCCAATCAGGTAGATGTGAACATTTTCCCCAATCACCTGAGAAAGAGAATGATTTTTGTCAGCTGCTTGTTGGAATGAATCCAGGTAGGGGATCTGCTTACACAAATGTAAAATCTTAAGGATGTCCAAAGGCCCCAGTTCTTTTCAGGAGTTCTAGGGCCCAGCTGGGAGTCTGTGTGGACTGCTACCTGATCCTTATCTTACCTTACCATAGAATGTAGGATCCAAGAACTTCCACATGCCAAGCCTCATGCCTTTCCTAGAAGTCATATTTATCTCTGACCTCACATAATGAGCAGATGACTGGCCCTCAATTTACAAACCCAGGCTGCAGTTTAATCTCATCACAACATTCAGGGAGCAGAACTATAGAAAGGAGAATGTCAACCTAAGTTACTCTCCCTTTGCTATAAATCTAGGTTAGACCACTAACATCTGGCAAAAACAACCCCAAAAATTAAGGCCACTGTTGGCATGTGGAGTTTCCATTTAAGGCAACAAAAGTGTTCCTGGCAGTGAAGTCACAACTTATTCAAACGTGCCAGAAGTCATAGATGAAGGCAGAAGGACCTTCCTCAGCAGGTCTGGAACCAAAACAGCACAGGACTGCACTAACCCCAAGATAGATACCTTCAGACTGGATCGCAACGTCTCTGAGAAGCCTGCCCGCTCCTCTTTGTTGAAGTTGATCCAGGTGTCTATGGAAACTGTTGGATTCTGAGAACATGGAACACCATCTGTGGTTTTCAGAGACACAAAAATGAATTTACAATAAAATGACAATTTCTCAAGATGCAAACTTATTGACTGCTTTCTCATATAACCCTTTCCCAGGACAAATAATTCCTACCATCGTGGGAAGAATAAAACCACAGAACCTGACAGGTAAGACCAACAGGTACAAACAGACATCTGTATCATATCTACTTGCTGTCACAGGAGGTCCTGGCCCCATTACAGAGATAAAGGAAAACAGGTATGGATGTTTATAGAGACAGACTGGGCCAGCTGGAAGGGGCAATCCCTTGGGGTTATATAAACCTAGTTCCTGCCATGGTCTGGCAGAAAGGTGAGGAGCTCTTATTGGTTAAAGCTGAGATAAGTTAGGCTCTGGAAACTGCAGTGGCGAGTAGTCCTGGAGAAAGCCCAGAAGTGACAGAGGCGGCCTAAGGAAAGGCCTGAGCTGGAATAAGTCTAGGCAAAACTGACCAAGCTTGGAGGCAACCTGACAAGAGGAACTTAAACTGAGAGGCAAGGGGCTATAAGGGGAGCTGCAGTTAGAAAACTGAGTGGGCTCTCAAGAGTTTTGCCACTATTTGGAACAACTGAACAGCATATATTGTTTTTCCTAGTTGGGGGCTAGCTTAATTTGGGTAAACTAGCCAGCTGGACTACTTTGGCAGGCATGCCTTTTGGATGATTCTGGTTAATGAGCCTTTTTGACCTATTGCAAGGGTGGATGAAGTCCCAGTGAGAAGGCAGGAGCTAATGAGGGCCAAGGGCCCTGTGATCTAACAGAAAAGAGGCACCTAGAGTGACTGCCCTCTGACCAAATGGAAGGCCTATACAGGAGATGGGGAAAATGGTGGATATGCCTGGCGGCCCGACTCCATTTCCCAGAAGTCCCTGCCCACGTCACTACAGTCAGTCTCCATGGAGACCCCAAGAGCCATGGGGATGTGACAGTGCAGGGCCAGGGTCTCCATGGAGACTGGCCCAAGCAGTGCTGGCAGGGCACATGGCTGTGTGGGGAGCTGCTCCATGACAATGCCAGCCTGGACAAAGCCGCAATCTTGGGCAGAGCCATGTAGGGGTGGGGCTGCTCACAGCAGGAGGCTGCAAGCAGCTCGGTTCTGTGGCTGGGCCAGGGCTGGGTGGGGGGCGGCAGGGGGCTATAGCCCACCCCATAGCCACCCCTCCCAGTGCTGCCACCACCCGCTCCAAGTGCAGCCCTGGCCCAGCCTCTTCACTGGGAAGAATCTAGTGCAGCCCCTGGCCCTAAGCCTGCAGTGGGCAGCCCACCTCCGCCCCACACACGAATCTGGGGGGTACATGCCCCCCATGCCTCTCTGGCAGCATGCAGAGCAGCAGCCGCCTCTCCCCCCGCCGCGATGAGCTGCTCACAGAGTCGCATTCACCACCTTGGCTGGGTGGCACCTGTCCCTGCCCCACTCCCTTCCCCCCCACAGACTAACTGCCAGGAGGCTGCTCTCCAAACTTCAAGGCTGCATTCTTGTAAATGGGCTATCAGATTGGTATTGGCTGATATGGCTGGTTAATAATCGATCATTGGTATCAGCCAAGAAAATCTTTATCGGTGCACCCCTACCTATTACCATCAACTTCTAGATAAATGTGCTGTGTAGACTAGATGCTTCACTGTCAGCTGAGGTACTAATGTTTCTTTAACTCATGTTGGGACATTTTCTTGCTGAACATCCTTCTGCTTTCTTCAGCCTCTGAATAAGATGAAAAGACAGGACCCTCTCTCCTAGCATGGTTTTCAGGCTCTTGCTACAGTTCTTCAAAGCCACCCTGGCTGTTCAGGTACCCCTTGTAAACCTCTCAGACAGACAGCCCAATTCTCTATCTGCACCCTGGCTACTCTCAGAAGCCCCTTACCTGTGAGGATGTCTGTCAGGAGGCGGAGAGGTAAGTGAAGAAACTCTTCTGTGTCCTGAAGCTGTGACAAGTGTGACTTGGCACAGTGCTTGGCAGCTGTGTAGAGCTCCATGTCACTGTGTTGGTCTGCCAGCCACATGACCTGCAGACAGTTTCTCACCTGCACTGTGCGGGCTAGGAAACGGGAGCACTCCTCAAAAAGGGCAGTCAGCTGGTACATGTCTGCCACTTCATACATCTCCTGTAGCTCCTCTGCCCTCAGCTTTACCGTTCCATGGTAAATATAGTCCACAAGAAGCTGGAAGACACTCTCACTAACGTCTTGCAGCTCAATCACCCGGTTGTGGGCCTCCTTGAGATTAGAAGTGAACATGGAACGAAAGAAGCAGCTCTGAGCTGAGAGGACAAGCCGGTGCAGCTGGAATTCTTTGCCTTCCACCGATATTGTGACGTCAGCAAAGAGCTCATCCTCCAGGCACAGCTTCATAATGCCCTGGGCCACACGGCCTGAGTGAGATCGGTCAGTGAAGGTGTAGTTCACAAAGTAGTTCTCTTCTGTGGAGGAACCCCCAGTCTCCTCCGATGAGTCCATGTTGCTGCACAGATCTGACCTCCAGTAATCTATAAAACAACAATGGCAGTAAAACTCCTCCTGAAAAGGAGCTTGTGCAATTCCAAAAGCTAGTAAGACTGGTCGGTAAGCCAGCAAACTGCAGCCTAAGTATAAATTTGGTTCTTTATACTTCTACCTGAGTTGCAGAGCCTCTAAAGGCCAAGGCAAATGTGAAAGCAGTGTAATTAAAACCAGGTTAAAGTCAAGCCATGGCTCTCCTTGTAGCACTAGTATCAGAGTGCAATCCCAATATCCTAGCTTCTGGAAATGGCAGGCATAGATCTCTTTCCCCTTTCATCTCAGTGACTCAGAGAAATGCAGCAAGAGACCTCTCGTACACAAGGACAACAGCAACTTACAACATGACTCTCTACAATACATTCCCAACCACCAGGTGGATTTGAAGCAATAATGGAAGCTCCTGGCTTCATTACAATAAGATGGAGGAAAAGGGGTCTGGGCTGTTAACAGCCAGTTGCAGCAGCTACAAGGAGCAGGTCTTGGGGCCTGGCTCCTGCCAGAGCTTGGTAGAAGGGCCCTGATAGCAGAAGGAAGAGGGACTTCCTGCTGGCTAAAGTTGTGACAATTTGGCCCATGCCCAGGCCTACTCACCACACAGTATCCAAGGTCTAAGACAGGGAAAGCTCAACAGCAACAGAGAAGGTCTGAGGAAGGACTAGAGCTGGGATAAGCCCAGCAAAGATGAATTGATTTTGGAGGCAACTTGACAACAGGCACCCAAGCCAAGGGCATTGGGCAGATGGAAGGGGAGCAGGGAGGTTGCAGTTTGGAAGCCTGGCAGGACTGAACAGACTTTTGAGTCTTTCTATCACTACTTGGGACAAATGAACTGTGTGGACAGTCCTCCTAATTTAGGGTCTAGTTTCCTTGTTTGGGGGGGGGGAGTGAGCCTTTGAGATTACTTTGGAATAAGCCATTTGGACTGTACTGGCAAGGGACCTGTTTGAATGATTTGGAGGGTGAACGAATGAACTGCCAGTGAGAAGGCAGAAGATAGTGAGGGCCAAGGGGCCCTATGGTCCAACAGTGGAGATGTGCAGAGTGACTACCCCCTGATGGAGCTGAAGGCCTATACCAAACAGTAACATCAAAATGTAGCAAACAAGTTCGTTAAGCATCTGGGCAATTGGGTGGGTGGGAGGCTGAGATTGGTCCAAGGGAGCAGCAGTGAGCCCTAGGGCCTAAAGACATGCCCTATCACATTAGCGCTCTGGCTAGAAAATGTGCCGTTGGAGAAACTTCTGGAATACAAGAACCCAAGGATGGAACAGATCTTACATTTACTGGCTCAACACTAGGCTGATACCGCCAAATAATGAGAAACAATAAGGGAACAGGCCAGAGGCGGCACCATGTCGTAGCGGCACCAATAAAAGGAAAATTGATATTATCAGAAATCAGCTTTTTTTGGATGATGTGGCCAACAATGTTGCCGATAAATGCTGCATGCATACATGCAGCCTCAGCATGCACAAGGCCATTGCAGCAGCTTACAGAGCAGCATCTGGCTGGTAAGTCTGTTGTGGGGGGAGGCGCAGAGGGAGGGAACAGAAGTGGTGGTGGCAGATTGAGGCCCCTGCAGTGAGGGAGAGAGTGGGGCTGGGGCAAGTACTGCCCAGTCAGGGAGGGGTGCAGGATGGAGCTGCGAGAGGCTCATCCAGGGGGCATGGGAAGGGAGGGCAGATCCCACCGCTACACGCATCCTGGGGGAGCTGTGGGGGGCATCTGCCCCCCAGATTTGTGCGTGGGGTGAAGGTGGGCTGCTGCTACAGGCTTGGGCCGAGGGCAGCACTGGGCTCTTCCCAGTGGGGGGGTTGGGCTGGGGCGGTGCTCGGGGCAGGCAGCAGTGGCGCTGGGAGGGGGGCTATGGCGAATGTTGGGGTGGCTGTAGCCCACCCCACACACTCCCCATGCCACCACTGCCTGCCCCAAGCACAGCCCTGGCCCAGCCCCCACACCAGGAAGAGCCTGGCATGCCCCCAGCCCCAGCCCATAGCAGCAACTCACCCTTGCCCCACACACAGAGCTGGGAGCCACATGCCCCCCATGGCTCCCCCAGGGGTGTGTGTAGTGGTGGGATCCCCTCCACCCCCAGATAAGCAACAAAACTCTGTCTTGCACCCCTCCCTGGCTGGACAGCACCTGCCCCTGCCTCATCCCCACTACCTCACTCACTGCAGGGGCTTCAATCTGCCCCCCCCTCCACCCCTTCCCTCCCCAACAGACATACCAGCTGGATGCTATTCTCCAAGCTGCCAGGCTGCATGCTGGCAATCGGCTCAGTATTGGCTGATATCGGCCATTGGTATCAGCCCAAAAAACCTTTATCGGTGCACCCCTAGAACAGGCCTAAAAGAATCAGGACCTGCTGCTGCATGTGATCAGGGGCAACAGAATACGACAGAGGAAATACTGAGATGGCAGTTACAAGCTGAGGTTCAATGAGCCCTGCTGACCCAGCAGCAGATGTTAATAGAGTGCTTTACCACCCAGGAGCAAGGACAGCAGGACCCAGAGGGTACATCCTGGAGAGAACTAGGGGGCTTCATCCTAGAAAAGATGACCCAGAATAATGACCTTAAGGCTTTTCTTAGAGGCACCTGAGCATGCAACAGTGGCAGCCCAGTGGAGCATGGATACACAGGCATCCTGGTTGGGAACCTTCAATCGGGGAAGCTCAAGACACATACAGAGTAATGATATACAAAGATGTTCAGGATTATGAAAAGGTTAGAGTCCATATTGCAGCAGTTGGGAATCTTCAAGGAGAGCCAGCGGCATTGCTTCTGATTTAAGACAACCCAGGCACCACTATGACACGCAGGTGGAAGTCATTCCTAGAGAACAGCAATGAGCTTGAGGAGGGCCTCAGGCCACACCCTGTTATAGAAACCAACAAATTAAAGATACTATGAAAGGTCTATAGGTAGTACAGAAGAAACAAAGCTGAGATGTGATATATTGGCAAGGGGCAGAGGCTACAGTTAATAGCATCATAGGTAGCCAACATGCAGAGGGAGCTTATTTCTACTGATAAAAGGGTGAAAAAAATCCTACAAAACTTTATCAAAGTCCTAAAATCACTCAGATGAGAAACTTGCCAAAGGTATAAGAATGGGATGCAGTTTGTGTAGAGTCAAATATGAAGCACATTCTGAAGAGCCCATGCCCAACCTAGATGGATTAGATAATGAAGCATATTCAAAGAACTACTCATAACAACTAAGAAGGTGCAATTATCTGTCCGCTCCCCCACTGACAGGGAGAAGTGACATGACAGAGTAGTGTCTCTCTGACAGAACAAAGATTACACGTGGAATCCCAGCAGTCAGCAAAAGAGCTCCTCTAAAGAGGAGCTGTTGCTAAGAGGGGCAAAAGCTACTTGCTCTTCCTTCATATAGTTCCTGCTAAGCTGTTGGATAATTCTAGTGTCAGCACCCCAGAAGTTTCCTTTCAACAGTAGGGCATGGTCTCATTTTAAAAAAGTGTGTTTAAACTTGCTCTAAACTCTTCCATACTACAGCAGACTAGATTTCCAGCCCTACCTGTGACAGTCAGTATCATTAAGACTAAATTACTCCAAATCCAACACTATTTAATGACTTCAGTGGGACCAAGATTTCACCCAAGGAGTTGGTAAACACTGTGCAGTCTCCTCTAGCTGAAGGCTCACATTCAATTGCTCAGCTCAGTCCAGAGGGTTAGGAGTATTCTTGGGTTTTTTGCTAAAACTAAATTCACATGCAGCAGCATCCACAAGCAACACTTACTATCATCTAGGCTTGGAAAAACAACTCCATCCCATCACTGATGACCTGGCCTCGGTCATATGCCTTTGTGACTTCCTGGTTGAACTGCAGCAGTGTCACACATCTGGCCCTGAAGCCATCTCATATGAAATTTCAATAAGCAAAGAACACACCAGCACTCTCCCCTCCTCTGCAGGGAAGCTACTGCAAGCACAATTGTGTCCTCTACACTAGCCTAGCAATTCAAGTTCAAGGTCTTGGTACCTTATCTTCAGTAAATTCAGCAGCCTAAGCCTAACATACCTGACAAGATCCCCTAAAGCTCTGGAATGCAAATGAATCAACACCTTTTGGCTAACATAAAATGCTCTACAACAGAAGTCGCATTCACTGGGGCAAGAGGCAGTTTTCTCAAAGGCTGGTACCCAACTCTAGAACAAACTCCACCAGGAATTAAGAGCAACAAACCTCTTGCCTTCATCTTAAAGCATGAGATTCCCCCTTGTTAATCTTACCTTCTCCAAAACAAAAAGGAAAGAGCTGGATGTGAAGGGGATACCAGGAGTACAGGCATCGCGTGCACAATTCCCCCCTAGCAAAGGGCAGGCTGGAAAGAGCCAGCGGGGAGGAGGGATGCCAACCGTATCACGTGATGCATGACTTCATGGTGGCCAGGCGCTCCGGGGGGCCAGGCCCCTTAGCAGAAGCCCCCGGGCAGAACAACTCCGGGCAGCCCTTGTATCGGCCCTTTGAATAGAAACGACCCGGCTGG